TGTACTTGCTTTTTATTGAATGTGTTCATTTTATAGAGTTCTTGACTGCCAAACCATGCATTAGAATTCAAAAAAGAAAATGGTATAATGGACAGGCCCATCCACCCATCATACAGTTTATTAAAACTTGATTCATGCATTTTTGTGGGGGGGGGGTACAGGGAATTGAATTCAGGGGCACTCAAACACTAAGTCACATCCCCAGCCCTCTTTTGTATTTTATTTAGAGATAAGGACTCACTGAGTTGCTAAGTGCTTCTCTTTTGTGGAGACTGACTTTGAAATTACAATCCTCCTGCCTCAGCATCCCAAGCTTGTAGAAGTCTACGTAATTTTTGTTGTTGTTGTTTTAGATCACAGAAAGTGTTTTGCGTACCATCTGTAAGATTAGTAAAGAGGTTTTCCCAGCTTTTCCACAAAAGCAGAAGTAATATCAAGTCTGCATTCTAACCCCCTTTGAGTTGTTTGCAAAAAAATTTTCCTGACATTCTGTTTAAAGAAAATTATGATGAGCTTATCTGGAGAAGCTTATTTAAGATTCTTATCTGGAGGGGGGGCACGACTACATTAGCACTTCAGACTGGGATCCTCCTTATCTGGACTTTTGTACTGTGTATAAAAAAATCATCACATGATTTTTCCAGAGTTACTGAGGTACCTTAAACACAGAGAGAAATCAAGTGTTCGTTTTCTGGCACATTCCACTTAAGTATTAATCATGGGGAGAAACCCTTGGATGTGTTTAAAACTCAATGTTGCAAAAGACTTTTAAGAAGGAAGGGAACACCTGCAGAGCTGCATCTATTGAAGTGGCTATCAGTATTATCAGGGGTCCACACACACACAGCAGAAGCAAACTCCTGGCCTGAGCTAGGAGAGAGCTCAGTGCTAGAGCACCTGTCTAGCATGCACAAGGCCAGATTAGGTCCCTGGCACCAGAAAAAAGAAAAAAAAAAATAGAAAGCAACTCAATTAAGTATAGGGCACAATATATTTTGAGAAGATGCCTCTACAAATAATATATACAAATGCCAACATTTTCTATTCCTCTCTAACGTGCCTACGTACAACACAACAAGTGAGACTTAGAACAAGCACGAGTGGTCATCCCAGAGTCATCAACAGACCAATAAGGCATCAATGAAAAGGAAGAGGCCAGCTGCAGGGCACACAAGGACACAGGAGGCTGAGGCAGGTGGCCACAAGTTTGAGGCCAGCCTCACCTCATCTCAAAAAATAACAATTAAAAGGGCTATGACGAAGCTCAGTGGTGCAGCACTCCTGGGTGAAATCTGAAGGAATGAGACATTTCACCAATCTGTAAATAAGGCTGGAGTGCAGAGGCTAAACTAATATATACGATGTGCAATGAAACTTTAGAAAGACAGAGAAGACTAAATTGTGAAGTCATGAAATAACAATTGATTTTCTTTTTGATACCTGGAGTCTACTTTTATTTTTTTTTAGCTATTATTATTATAACAATTGATTTTTGAGAAGGAATAGTGAGCAGCAAAGTTGTGAGAAAAATCAAAGAAATCAATAAGCACATTACATAGTGAGGATTAAAGAACTGCATGAGGGAGAGTATGCACAGAAAAGGGTGACTTGATCCTCTACATACGTTTGTGCGTTCGAGTGAATGCAAATCTCACCCCACCCAGGTATTTCCTTTTGTAAGTTCACTTGGTGCTCTAGAATCACTCACCTGAGCACCATGCCATGTTTCATAGCCTCTGTGACCCCGCTAAGGTGTGTAGCTGGTGCCTGGTGCATAGAAGGGAACATTAAAATATTTGTTGGAAAAAAATCCTGAGAATACTGACTGTGATTAAAGTTCATTATGTCATGAGACTTAACAGAAATTAATAGTTTGCTCCCTTAAATATTTAAATAGTTCTTGCACCCCAGTTTTCAACAGAAATTATCTAAAATAAACTTTTTTCCAAGTAGACTTCCGTTTAGTTAAAATGGACTGGTAAATTTTAGGATACAAGGTATAAATTAATGTTCTTATGATTATCAATATCACTCTATAATATTAGAGCTTGAAGGACATTAATATACATAAACACATTAGACCAAAATTCTTGCTTCTGAATCGATTAACACTTGGAAATTATACACAAACAAAGCCCGTTTTGATTTACATCAAGGTTTCAAGAAACGTCCAGGAGCCAGGCATGGTAGCTTATTCCTGTAATCCCAGGAGCTCAAGAGACTATAGCATGAGGACCACAAGTTCAAAGCTAGCCTCAGCAACTTAGTGAGGTCCTTGGGAGGAACTGAGCAAGATCCTGTATCAAGGCAGCTGTGCAGAGGAAGTGAAACATGGCACTGTGAGACTACTCTGGGCTTCCTCATGCCCACTTGCTTTGTGTGTCCTGGATAGGTGAGGAGCAGGTGACAGCCCCGTAACCACCATGGATGGAGAGGAACTTTTTGAGGAGAAAATCCAAACTGTAAATGCCAGCCTGGCTGATTTGGCTGTTCAAGTTTTCCCCTTTGGGGAATTCAAATGAGGGAATTCATAGACACCTACACAGACACCAGCACAAACACTTAAATGTGAGAATAGATGCTGGGAGCAAAGGAAGCCCCCTTTGATTGTCCTCTCACTGTTGGTGCTGTTGGTATGAAATGCTTTCTCCCAGCATTGAGCTGCCTGGCTGTGCTGGAGATCCTAGATTCCCTGCAGACCACCATCATGCCCAGACCTTGCACAGAGTGGAGCAGGATCTGCTGGAGCTCAGTTGTGAGGTGGCCACAGATACAGTCCAGCACAACCATTTGTCTGTGACCTGCTCTGTCATAATGTGGTGAGAAGCTGGTAGAGGATTTCCCTCAGCTGGCACTTCATACTGCACTCCAGCAGTGAATATGGCCAGAGGCAGAGCCTGGGGGAGGTGCAACTGGACAAGCTAGGGAGGACCACCTTCTACCTCACCATCTTCCACCTGCAGCCTTTGACCAGGACAAGTTCTACTGTGAGGCCATTGAGTGGATCCAGGATCATGACGGACTGAGAGATTCAGATAAGAGACAGAGAGGCCTGAAGAATGAGATGGAGCATAAATCCTCATCTCCTTGCATTGATTGCTGCTGTTTTTTCTTTGTGGAGTCTGAGAGCTGCTCTAGGCAGGTCTGTGTCCACTGCTTTCTCTACTTGTCTTTGGAGAGTCTGCAACTTGAGACTCTCACACCTCAGTGCTTCTAAGTCACCAGAATTGTTGGAGAAAAAAAGAAGTCTGAAAAAATCTCAGCATTACTGAGTCAGATCTATTTATACTCTACGTTTACAAAAAAGGATTTAAAGCAAGCCCTCAAAGTGGCTTCTATCTGAAAAGCTAGTTCCCAGAACTGGAGGAACAAAAATCTTTGTAGTCAGAGAAATACAACCAAGTGCTCTGCTCAAGCTACACAAAGGGAACAATTGTGGCAAGAATGATTTGGGGATGAATCTATAAAAGCTGAAATATATCTTCTGGTTTTATAAAAACGAGACTGAATGCATTAGTAGAGAATTAAAGTTCTATTAAAATGAAATAAAAAGAAAACAAAACCTGGCTGTGTAATCAGTATCAAGTCATATATTCTCATTCCTCGAGTGTATTGGAATTGTAGTGGGTTTCTTATGGATTAAGTGATGAGAAAAAATACTAAATTGAAACATTGAATGCATAAGACCTGAATTATCATCTTGATCTTTTCACAAATGTGGGCAAGGTGTTTAATCCTGGGGCATATTACTTTATCTTCTATGTAATCCATTGACTTTTCCAAAAAGTTTGAAATTTGAATGCAAGGAGCCTATTGAATTTGAATGCAAGTATTTAAAAAAAAGTTTTAAAAACTTTGAGCATGAATTTGCACTTTTCAAAATTCTTTCTTACAATTGTAAGCTGTCTCTTTTCACCCATAGTTTGTAAAACTGTGATGTATGACTTGTCACCGCTTCTAGGTATAGTTCTGGTAAAATTCACATAATTATGTCAATGGAAGATTTTTTTAAAAAAGAAAAATCCTCTGTATAGAAAAATGCAATTTACTTAAAATTTGGTGGGGGGGGGAGATCCTGTATCAAAATAAAAAGGCTACAGATGGTTCTCAGTGCTTAAGCACTCCAGATTATGATGATGATGATGATGATGATGATAATTTTCCTTTTCTCTTCCCCCTCCATTCTCTGACCCTGGTAATTATATTTAGAACCTCTCAAAATTTTTATTTTGTCACAACCTATAAAAAGTCATAAGATACTTGAAGAGAAAAAAAAAAAACAAACAGAATTATCCAGGGGCCTTGAAAAAGTTATATAAATATGAGACCAGAGGTTTAGAATATCATTTATTTGCTAAGGCCTTTAGTGGAAAAAAAAAAGTACAATATTAAAGAAAATTATGGTACTTATGGGAAGTAGACAGATCGAAAATAAATAAGAATTAAAATGTGGCAAATAAATGTTAACAGTTTAACTATAAATATTATAAACTATTCTATATAATATATACTTCTAGGTACAAATTATACCACATACTAGATTTTACACACACATACTTGCATATGTAAAAGATTATGTCATAATATGTGAGAGTTGACTACAGATGCAAAAAACTTAATACAGGAAAATTGAATCTAACAATAAGAGAGATTTACCCCCCAAAAGCATGTTGTTTCACATCTTTACGCTGATGCAATGCTCATGTCCACCCCAGGGTACATTTCCATTACCTCTGAATAGACAAAGGAGAAGTGAAGGCCCACACCCTTTTCACACTTACAGTGCTTTTCTCAAGAAGGGGTCACTTCCTGAAGGCAGTGCATAACTGTAATCCCAAAGGCTCAGCAGGCTGAGTCAGGAGGATCATTAAGTGCAAAGCCAGACTCAGCAACTTAATGAGGACCTAAGCAATTCAGTGAGACCATGTCTCAAAATTTAAAACAAATAAAATTAAAAATAAAAAGGGCTGGAATGTGTCTCAGGGGTTAAGCATCTCTTGGTTCAATCCCTGGTACAAAAAAAAAAAAAAAAAATTCCTTCCAGTCTAAATGGATCTGAAACAACTGAAGGTCTCCCCACATTTCTACATACAAGGCTTTTCTCTTCTAGCATGAGTTCTTCCATGCTGTTCAAAGAGACCTAGAGAGTTGAACATGTTACCACATTTTTTAAAGGGCAGAAGGATTTTCCCTGATGCGAACCCTTTTATATCTTTTTGTTATGGGCCAGCTATATGGAAATGATCAAACAGACTCCTTATCATGAAAGAAATTCTTCTCCCATGGGAAAACCCCACCTCTGTATCCATTACTAATTTGCCTAGCACAGCATATTTGGCAACATTAAATAGCAATTTTTAAACAATGGGAAATTGGTCTCTTTGGTTCCCATTTTTCTCTTTGGGCAATATATCTTATCGGGGAATAATTAATTAGAAGTTAGTAGCCATTCTTTAATTGTACTTAACTAGGATCACTTTGATCCATTTCTCTTTTGATTATGATTATAGAAAATCCCATGACAAATACTAAATGAGAATAAAAATATGATTATGAGCATTGCATTGTTTCACTACTGACTTTATTCAGATTTTGTATTACTGTTTGCATGCTTGCTTGCTTGCTGGTTGCTCTGTCAACCTGGATGAGGTTTTTGCCTTTATATATCCTAAAATGTTGAGATTCTAGGCTGTTTTCCTGCAGAGATAACTTAGTCCTGTAACAAGAAGTCCTGGCTGGTTGAAATAAAAACTCTTCAATTTGGACAAAACTGGGACTCAGTATTTTCTGAGTGACTTGCCCACGACATTTGAAGGAAACTGTGAAAGTTGACTACTGCCCCACATTGCTTATCCATAGGGTTTTTTTACAGTATGAGTCCTTTCATACAACTGAACAAAACTGGAATATCTGAAGGCTTTACATTTCTTACTTGAATAGGATTTATTTATTTTTGCATGAATCATTCAATAAGAATCATCTCAGTCCTTAGAAGAAACTGGTAAAACTAGAAGGTGTCCCACATTTCTCACATTCACAGGGCTTCTCTCCATGAGTATTTCCATATATGAGAAGAAAAATGAAACATCACACATTCAGGGAGTTTTTTTCCAGTGTGAGTGAAATGGCTTTGAAGACAACTGGGAAAATGGAATGAGTTGCCAAATTTTCACATTTAAAGAGTTAACATGGTGGTATGCACCTGTAATCCCAGAGACTTAGTAAAAAGAACTGGGGATTATGGTTCAGTGGTAGAGCACCACTGGACTAAATCACCCCCCGACCCCCAAAAAATATTCTGCAGTGTGAGTCCTTTCTAGTCTTTGAAATTGACAAGGAATATTGAGTTACCACAATTTACATTCCAAGGATTTTTCTCCAGTAAACTTCCTACGTGTTTATGAGTGCAGCAGTAAAAACAGAAGACTTTGCTAATTGTTTTCATTAGTATGATTTCTCTGCATATGAGTTCGTTCATGTATGTGAAGGTGACTGGATCTAGCAAAGGCTTTTCCACATTGTTTACATTTATAGGGTTTTTCTCCAGTATGTGATCTTCCATGTATCTGAAGGTCACTAGATCTAGCAAAGGCTTTTCCACATTGTTTACATTCATAGGGTTTCTCTCCAGTATGCATTCTTTCATGTATGTGAAGGTCACTGGATCTAGCAAAGGTTTTTCCACACTGGTTACATGTATAAGGCTTCTCTCCAGTATGAGTTCGCTCATGTAAGTGAAGGGTAGAAGACTGAGTGAAGGCTTTGCCACACTGCTTACATGCATAAGGCTTCTCTCCAGTATGAGTTCGTTCGTGTATTTGAAGGTAAGAGGAAGTAGTGTAGGCTTTTCCACATTGTCTACATTTATAGGGCTTCTCTCCAGTATGTGTTCTTCCATGTATGTGAAGATGATGGGATGTAGCAAAAGCTTTTCCACATTGTTTACATTCATAGGGTTTCTCTCCAGTATGAGTTTTTTCATGTGAGTGAAGGTGAGAGGACTGAGTGAAGGCTTTGCCACACTGCTTACATTCATAGGGCTTCTCTCCAGTATGTGTTCTTCCATGTATGTGAAGCTGACTGGATCTAGCAAAAGATTTTCCACATTGTTTACATTCATAGGGCTTCTCTCCAGTATGAGTTTGTTCATGGGAGTGAAGGGTGGAGGACTTAGCAAAGGCTTTGCCGCACTGCTTACATTCGTAGGGTTTCTCTCCAGTGTGCGTTTGTTCATGTAAGTGAAGGGTAGAGGGCTTAGCGAAGGCTTTGCCACACTGCTTACATTCATAGGGTTTCTCTCCAGTGTGCGTTCTCTGATGCATTCTAAATAAACTGGGATAAGCAAAGTCTTTCCCACATACTTTACATTTAAAACGTGCATTCTCAGTGTGCATGATCATGTGACTGTGAAGATTTGTGAGTGAAATAAAGGTTTGACCATCTTGTTTACATTCATAGAGTTTCTCTCCATAATGTATTCTTTCATGTCTTCTAAATAAAGAGGGAAAATGAAAGGCTTTTCCACATACCTTACACTTAAAAGTTTTATCTTCACTATGTGTTATCATGTGTCCTTGAACCCCTGTGAGAGAAGAAAAGGCCTCTCCACGTTGTTTACATTCATAGGGTTGCCATCCAGTAGAAGTTTCTTCATGTCTTTGAATGGAACTGGAACGACTGAAGACTTTCCCACATACTGTACTTTTATAATGTCCATCTCCAGCTTGTGTTAACATTTGTGTTTGAACACTTTTGAGAGAAACCAGAGATTTCCTGCCATGTTTAAATTCACATGGATTTTCTTCACATTCCTCATGCTTGTACTGTTTGTGTCCAGAGTGAGATGTGATCTGCCTATGAAGGAATGAAGGACATATGAAGTCTTTTGCACACATAATACAGTCACATGGATTTACTCTATTAAAATTTTTCTTTTGTCAGGTTAAGAATTGGAATCTCACTGAAAGCTTCCCCACACTATCTTCTTTGCCTTTGATGTTTACCATATGACCTCTGTGAAGAATGACCAGCACATTATCAATGCTTGATCCATTCATGATTTTCTATTTATTCATGGGTCCTAGGCTTACATTACTACCAAAAATCAGGTGAAGGCTAGGTGTTCAAATTGTTCAAATTGCCCGAAAATAAAGAGATTGAAAGGAAACAATCCTTCGCAACACAGCTTCCCAATGGCTATTCTCCAAATAGTGATATTCATATATGCAGTTTCACAGTACTTTTTGCATGTCAAGTACTTTGAAAAGACTGACTATCTGTTACAGTTAAGTATATACTTCTGGTTAAAAAAAACTTATAAGAATAAATACATTTCAAGTTGTGCATATTTCTTTGGTTGATTTGTTTTACAAATTATATGATATTCTCAGATATTGCTTCCTCTTGTGAGTACAGTTACCTTGGATTGTTCCCAGACTTTTTGATCTGATCTTCAATGTTCTTCTCTTCCCATTTGTTTCCTAAAATGCCAACCCAGAACAATCATTATAAACTTCTAGAAGCTAGAAAAACTTTGCCAAATTCTAGGTGCCTTTTATGCTGTATTAATTCACCAAATGATTCCCTTTTAAGGTTTTTCATAAATGACCAAAATAAACATGAATTCTCTATTTGATTAATTAAAGAAACATCATCATTACCTATAAAAGCCAGGTTTCCGAGGACTTCCTGCATCACATCTGTGTAAAGTTTCTTCTGGGATGGACCCAGCAAAGCCCATTCCTCCTGGGTGAAGTTCACAGCCAGATCCTCAAAGGTCACTGAGACCTAAAATATCCTCAAATGTGTGTGTAGTGAAGGCCAGGAGAGATTGACAGTATGAGGAATCTACACTCAATATGCATGATGCTCACATGATTCTCTGGTCTCCCAATTAATTCAATGATTTGGTCCATCAAATATTTACTGCACTCAATTCCTCATAGCCATTCCAATACTAGAATTGGGCTGCTCAAAAGGCAAACAGTAGAGTGTTTTACACCCTTCTTTGGTGAGTTCACAGTAAGACAGGCTTCAAGGTCATTCCCAACTTCATTTTTGGTTGCACTTCCATTACAAGTCTTAACAACATCCTGTGCAGTAGAGAGCTAATATTAGCACTCCTGGTATTACTTACCTTTAGAAAAGAAAGCACAGTAAGTAGGAATTTCCTGTAATCAGGAAACTCAGCATTTGGGACAGATCCTGCCAAGCACAGTGGCTCACTGTGCCTACACAATTATTGTAAACAACATGGTATTTACTGATCTCCTGTTTCCTTCTGAAAGTCTATTGTTCCATCCTTAAAGAAGTGCCTAGAATCAGCCCTCACCTACAACCTCTGGGCATGGGGTCACTAAGGAGTTTCCCTCATAGATAATATTCAGAAAACCTTTCATAAAGGTTGTCACAATGTGTTAACTGGGGATTGAGATCATCCATGTGATTACACCAAGAGAACAATCAGAAGCTTGCAGGTGATTTACTCCAGAACCAAATTAGGCAATAAACAAGTACAATGATTAATAAACACAGCAATTTGATAATTTCTCATGGTTAATGTCAAAGCAGAATGGGATAAGTGGAAAGACGGCAAGTGTCTCAGAAAAAACTCAATGATCCCAAGATGTCACATTGTCCAAATGATATCCTTACAAAGTTTTATGTCTCAAAACAATAATCTTAATAAGAATAAGCTACTTTTTTAAACCTCAAAGCAACAATGAATGTCCAATGATTAAAACTCTTCTGAACAGCAGCCACTTCACTAACATAAGGTACAATCACGTGCCACATAGCCATGTTTTGCTCAAGGGCACTTTGAATAAAGATGGGCCACATGTGCAATGGTTGTCTGTTATGAAAGAGATTTCTTGTGCCTGTAATGATGCTCTGCAAACAAACCTAACACAGGAGCACTTCCAGGAAAAAAGCAGCATTTTGCAGCCCAGAATCCTCACCTCACAGTTTGTATGTGAAACAGGCCACTCCATATACATCTATAAGCATGCTATGATGTCTGTATAATGATGGAACAGCCAAAAAGATCACCTTCCAGAACATGCCCCTGCCACTGACATAAAACCATACTCAAGGACTTAAAATATGTGACCTCCTGAGCAGTACAGTATAAGCAGAGGTAAGCAAAAGACCAAGAGAAAGCCTTCAGTAGACTGACCTTCACAACATGAAAAGATGAGCAAAAGCATGTGTCATGGAGAGAAATCACAATGATGATCCCAACAAACTGGAATCTAGAGGCAAAAGGCACTGCATCCCTATATTCTGTAGATAAAAGTCCATTTATTATACATTCAAATGTAAAAGAATAAAACTTTTTAAATAAACTTACAAAAATTTTAGTTTTATTTGTCTATCTAACTATTGTGGGGCAAATTAAAAAGAAAAAAAAAAAAAAGCAGGGACTTAATCCAGGGCACTTAACCAAACCACATCCCCAGCACATTTGATATTTTGAGACAGTACTCACTAACTTGCTCAGGACCTTGTAAGTGGCTGAGAGTAGCATTTAAACTTGTGATCTTCATGCCTCAGTTTCCCCAGCAGCTTGGATTAAAGGCGTGCACTACTGCACCCAGTGAAAATATTATTTTTATAGAAGAATAAGCTAAACAATATTACAAAAATGATAAGCAGTAAAGAAAAATATTAACACTCACACCAAAGTGACACAAACAGAGAGATTGGAGCCATGATAGTACTACCATAAAAAAGAACAGATCAGAGAGCCTGGAACAGTTCCCAAATAAACTCACACAAATATAATCTGTTGATCTGTGAAGAAGGAAAGTCATTTACATTTGAGATGAAAATGGTTCCAGGAAGAGGAAGCTGCTCCATCTGCGTATCCTCCAGAGAAAAGTGGAAACACAAGCAGAAGCATCAGAACAAGAACCTAACCATGCCCAAGAGCACTGAAAGTTCATCACAGCTACAGGAAGCAGTCATGAGGAAGAGTGGAGAGCAGCAGCACAGTGTGACCTCCACTAGCCCTGAAGACAGCCTCTCTGGTGCAAGACAGCAGCCTGACATCCCATTGTGAAACCCTGGTCACTGGCTCCACACTGTACACAGATTTATCAAAGTCTCTGCATTTTTTAATTAAAAACATCACAGGACTATCTTAATATCTAAAACAACCTCTCACTCTTCTAAGTCAGAAAGCAATCACTGTAAAAACTTAGTAGAAATTCCTGAGAAGGATTTAAGTAAGCAAACAGCCTGCATCTGGCAAGAACAGCAAATTACTGTTTACACACTCAACCATCACCTAAAATCTGATAAAGAAAACTACAGGAAGAGTTTTTTTTTTTTTTTTAAATCAGGTTTCAAAAACACCCAGGTTCAGGAGGCTGAGGCAGGAAGTTTGGAAGCTCAATCCCAGGCTTAGAAACTTAGTGAGGCCCTAAGCAAGTTAGCAATACCCTAAATCAAAATTAAAAAAAAAAAAAATTAAAAAGGAGGGTGTTGGGGATGTGGCTCATTTGTGTACTACCCGTGGGTTCTCTTCACAGTATCCCCCAAAACAAACAGACAAACAAACACACAAACCAGTTGGTCTGAAGAAATAAGGAAGCCCACACAGGCCGGAAGAAGTTCTTTCAGAGAGTACCCAGACCTGCATGCTTAGCACTCGTTTTTCCCCAGGCTGGGTGCTGCAGCGTAAAGGCACAGGAGAGTTTTAAATAGGACCACTGCACAGCTACCCACAGAAACCAGAGGAGGAGCTCTCACTGTTTACTATTGTTCTTCCTTAGCTTCTGGTGTAGGTGAAAATGAGGGCAAGCACACTGAGATCTGGAAGCAACAGTTTATTAGTGGCACCACAGCCTAGAGGAATAAATCCCAAAGCTTTTACTTTTATACATAAGCAAGTTTTGAGGGCATTGAGTCATGGAAGTTGGTGCAATCTATTAGAGGGTGAATTCTATATTCCTTATCTGGGCACAAACTTGTCAACAGCCTAAGCACCCAGCTCATTACAGATTAGGGACTTTTTCTCCACTAAACATCAAGAGGGATTGTTCTTTCCCTGATACTTTGTTTGCTCCTTCTGCTACTGTGGTTATCTTGTTACAGGCACCTGCAGCTGCTGCAAGCCTCCATGATAAAATGTCAGTAAGCAGAGCTGCTGTGGGTCAAGCTGCAAAACTACAGCCTGTCAGCTCTTAAACAGTTTCCATTCTGTCCTACCACAGTGGCATTCAGGGAAATCTGTCAAACAGGCTGAACACGAGCTAATTCACTTCACATAGCATATAAAATGCAGTCTCTAGGCAACTGCATAAAGGAAAAGCAACATAGGAGAAAGGGGAAACACATTTTCATTCACTTTTAAACAACAACAACAACAAAAATGTATATAGAATACTGAGAAATAGAAAAACATGTTTCATCAGTGGAAATTAAATGCCTTGAGGTTGATAATCCCTGAGAAAGATCAGACTCAAGAATCACTAGGCTATTTTTTTTCTATTTATTTACTTATTTATTTTTTGTTCCAGGAATTGAATCCAGGGGTGCTTAACCACTGAGCCACATCCCTAGCTCTTTTAATTTTAATTATTTTTATTATGAGAGAAAATATCTCTAAGTAGTTCAGGGCCTAAGTTACTGAGGCTGATTTTGAATTTGTGATCCCCCTGCCTAAGCCTCCTGAGCCACTGGGATTACAGGCATGTGCCACAGTGGTGGGAATAGGCTAGAATTTAATTAAATGTCTTAAATTTTTAATATGCATGCACCTGAAACAAACTCAAAATACACCAGGCAGAGATATAAAGAACTGCCCAGGACAATGAAGAATCCACAGTTACACTAGAAGACATCAGTACAACTCTGTTGGGTCTGAGACCATGTAGCAGAGAAGCAGACAGGAGGGCTTCCCTGGTCATTAGCCAACAGGAAGCCCACAGTCTTCTTCAAGTCACAATAACACTCCTCAGGACAGGTAATATTCTGAGCCATAAACCACACCCTAACAGTGTGTAACACCAGTGAAATCCCAAGTATGTTCAAAGAATATGGGTATTAAAGCAGAAATCATAAAAGAAGCAGCTGGAAAGTCTCCAGGGAATGGGAGGTGAAACACAGGTCTGTAAACAGACATGGGTGGAAGAGGTAACTCAAGGGAAAAGTTGACCATTTTGAGGAAAATGAAATGTAGAAGTCCACAATAGGAAATCTGTAGAAAACAGGACAGATAGTGCTTGGATGATATCACAGGTATCCAAAGAAAATTTCAAATAAGAAGAACTGAAAGCAATAATTGAACCTTCTACTTCAGGAAACCAAAGAAAGAAGAGCAAGGTAAACATAAATTAAGCGCAGGAAACTGACAGAGAGGGATTGATGAAACCTCAATCAGGAAATCAGAAGTCTGCAAAACCAAGTTCTTCATGAATATCAGCATCACTGATAAACCTATATGAGGCTAAGAAAACAGAGGACAGGGTCTGGAGTTGTGAAGTGCTTGCATAATGAGCATTTGCCTATGATGCACTGGGTTCAATCCTCATTATAAAAGTAAATAAATAAAATAAAGGTATAAAAATACAATAAAATTAAAGAAATAAGAAAACAGAGAAACTATCCATTAGAATTAAAAGAGCCACTGCTACCATCCATGGGCACTTCAAGCACATTGTGAACATGTGCTTGAAACAAATTAGGTCACTTAGAAGAACTGGACCAACTCTTGAGAGAGACAATCTCCTACAACTTACAGAGTAGGAGAAATACACAAAACAGATGAGCCGAAGCCTACTGAAGAAATTGACTCAATAACTAATTACTACCAAAAAAGAAAACACAAGGCTCTGACAGGTCATACAGGCTTCCATAAGACACTGAAGAACTGCCACTAATTTTTTTTTAATATTTATTTTTTAGCTTTTAGGTGGACACAATATCTTTATTTTATTTTTATGTGGTGCCGAGGATCGACCTAGTGCCTCACGCATGCCAGGTGAGAGCGCTACCACTTGAGCCACATCTCCGGCCCTGCCACTAATTTTTTTACATTTTTTTTTCCAGAACACAGAAGCAGAGTAAACACCTTCTAATGTCTTCTGAGGCATATGTTACAATATTATCAAAATTAAACAGATAAACAAAGGAACTATGAATTACTCTAATGATCATAAGTGCAAAACTCCTCCACAAATGTTACTTAACTGAATCCAAAAATGAATAAGAATTACACATCAAGGCCAAGAAGGAATTTACACCTACTCAAGGCTGATTCACAATTTAAA